TTAGTTTCTATCAATCTGTCAACGCAGTACAATGAATCAGTTCAGTGTAAAGAACCAGTTCATTGAGAGATCTGTGAAGAAAGAAAAGAACCAGTTCGGAAGAACCAGTTCATTGAGAGATCAATGAAGAAAGAAAAGAATCAGTTCAGATTCATGTGTTGAGGAACCAGGAAACACCTCCAGAAAGGTTTTGAGGAAGATCCCTTTCCCCTGTGAATCATTCAGAAGTTCTAACAGAACCGGTTCAGAACCAACTAAAACACAGTGAGGAGACCATCTGAAGACCTGGAGAACCGCTGATCCAGGAAGGTCTGGATCCTGACTGGAGGTTCTGTGTGTTTTCAGACCACCTGATGTTCTGCAGAAGCCAGAGCTAATGTGTGTTCTGTAAACTGCGTATATTAGCAGTCAGTCAGCCCTACTTTACTTTGCTAATAGGATTCCTTTATCACCCCCCCCCCTCCTCCTCCTCCTCCCAGCATGCATCACTCAGCCTTCCAACACACACACACACACACACACACACACACCCACACAGAGCTGTAACCTTACCTGGGTGTCCTCTGTCCTGCCGCTGCCGTGACGTCCCCCTGGTTGCCGTGGTAACCTGTTTCCTCCTTCCTCTCTGTGGCACTCAGTAACCTGGTCTTCGTCCTCTTCGTCCTCCTCTTCCTCTCTGAACACTTGTTGTCTGCAGCAGAGCCGGCTCATCGTGGATTTACTGGCTAAGCTCCGCCTCCTCGTCCTGATCCTGATCAATCAGCCGCTGGCTCCTCCCTCCTCAGCTACAACCAATCTGAGGCTGGGTCTGCTCCTTCGGCCAATGGCGGATTGGAGGGGGTGGGGCTACTGACCTGATCAGGAAGCAGAGAGGTAGCACTGATTAATGATCAGGGATCACTGAGGTGTGATGTCACTCTGCTGCACTGTGATTGGCTGCCAGGGATCAGTGGTTCCAGCGGCCCAGGTGACCTGATAGCAGACTGGTTCTGCTGGTACTGATTGTACCAGAAACCTGATTTGGATCAACCTGTGCTGCTTTAGTAAACACTGGGCCTGGTTCTGATCCACCTGGAGAACATCTGAGCAGAGTCCATCTGAAGCCGCTCAGAGGTTCTGAATCCAGCAGAACCAGAGAACAGGATTCTCCTCACCTGAGATCAGCTGGGGTCCAACATCCCAGAACCCGCCTCGGTCCCACCTAGAAGTTAAAGCAGACGTCATGTTGGAGTCACAGAGCGCTCGGATCGACCCGGGTTTCTGTCAGACTGACGGTTCTTACCGGGTCGGGATCAGGGGTCCTCCTGTGAGCTGCTTTGCTTCATCCCACGTCTCCAACAGGTCCAAACCGGATCCAAAACCGCTCCACAGCTCCTCGTTACCCAACCCAACACTAGGGTCTGCTGTGCTACTGGTCGTCCAGCTCTGCAGATCTGGTTCTCCACCTTTCAGATCCTGAATCTTCTCCTCAGGAACCAGTCCAGTCATCTGGGCCAGCAGTTCTGGATCAGGGAGGAATGTTCTACAGAGTCCGTTCCAACTGGAACTGAACCTTCAGAAAGTCTGGACAGCCTCAACGCCTGGACTCAGAATCAGGCGTCCAATCAGAACCAGGCATCCAGTAGAGGAGGGTCGCTGGTCGCTATGGTGATTCTCTCCATCATCGGGGGTGGAGGGACCAGAACCTTCTGGTGGTCCAAGTGTCCCCTTTATGTTTCTGACGGGTTCACTGGACCTACTGGAAGTGGATGAGTGTGGGCGTGTCTACCAGAGGCAGGATGATGATGATGATGATGATGATGATGATGATGATAATGATGATGATGATTTTTTAAGTATTAGGGAAGCTGCTGTTCCAATGGTTCTATTTCCGAATTCTCCCGAGTGGCGCCCGACTTTACACGAGAGAATAAAGTGAACGTGATTGGTCGATTATCACATTGGGACCAAGTAGCACTAAATTGGTGACTTAGAAACGACGCTGTCAAGGAACGCTATGGACAGCGGAAACA